GAGAGAGAGAGAGAGAGAGAGAGAGAGAGAGAGAGAGAGAGATGAGTTCTAGATGGTATGCTGGAGTGCTGTGGTTGGACTAGTCGTGCAATGGAGGAGTGTGGGTGTACGATACGATGTGGTGCACGTCCGTGGAATAGCAGCGGCGATTTGCATTGCGGATATGGATTTGGCATGGCTGCTTGATTAGATTGCATATGTATGTATCTATATATAGAGATATGTGTATGTTTGTTACAGCCCCTCGTTTGTTGTCATGTCGTCCCTCTCTATCTACGGTTTACCGAGCAGCTCTGTTTGACGATATACAATGCCATATGTTCAGTTTCTTTTTTTTTCTCTCTCTTTTTGTTTTCTGACAAAACAGGAACAGTAACAATCCTGTTTTCTGTATGATTTGCTATCAACGATAAAGCGAGGGGCCGATCTTTCCTTGCAGCTTTCCTGAAATGGATGCCGAAATTGAAAACAGAATTGAAATTTGAAAATAAATAAAAGGGCAAATGGGCCTGATGTGTGAACCTTACGGACAGGCAGATGGTTCCGCTGACAGTCGCTCGTAGAGATAACTGGCGTGATGCCATTGGGTGAAAAAAATGCTGAGGGGGACGTTTCCAAGGGAAGAGGAAAAGGAAAGGACAAGCATGACAAACTGAGAGGTATAAGACGGGGAGCTGAGGAAGGGAGGGGAGGGTAAGGAGGGGGGAAGGGGGAAAGGTAGAGTAGAGGGGGAGTGAATGAAAGAGTCCAGTAGGGAGGGAGAAAGGGGAGTGATGGAGTTAAATAGGCATCCATGCAGGGACGAAGGAAAGGTGGGTAGGATGGGAGGAGCGTAGGGGGGGGGAGGGGGGAAGGTAAGAGAGGGAGTCGATGAAAGGAAAGGGAGGCGGGAGGGGAGGGAGGGAGGGAGGTAGGGATGCAGGGCGGGGTGGGGTGGATAAGAGAGGGAGTCAATTAAAGCAAGGGAGCCGGGGGGGGAGGGAGGGATGGGGAGGGGAAGAGAGGGAGGGGTGCAGAGGGGGGCTGAGAGAGAGAGGGAGGGAGGGAGGGATGGAGGCAAGCAGGCAGGCAGGCAGGCAGTGATCGAGGAACAAGGGAGAATGGAAAGGAGGAGGGGACTAGGGCGAAACACAGGGAACTGAGGGAAGTAGAGAAGGAATGAATGAAGAGAGGACGGATGTCCCCCACGCCGTGGTCCAGCTATGCAGCTCGTAGGCACTTCCTCTCTACCTTTCGTCTAAACACATTATTAATCTGGCGCATGCATTCTTTGCTAATCATTTTGGAAGCGCAGCTTTATCTGTCTCTGATCTATCTTTTTTTTTTTTTTTTTTTTTTTTTTTTTCGAGTAGCAGAGTTGGGCGATCCGATGCTGTCTCTTATACACATCTAGATGTGTATAAGAGACAGGCGCAGCAGAGTGAGTGTGTAGGTGCTGAAGAAACACGCACAAAACGAGAGAGAGAGAGAGAGAGAGAGAGAGAGAGAGAGAGAGAGAGAGAATAGGAACGTTTGGAGAAGTATCACGAGGGGGACGTTTCGCGGAGTGTCCCTTCCTTCCCCACGCGCTTTTTTTTTGGGGGGGGGGAAGGGGGGGGGGGAGAGGGGGGGGAAGAGGGTCCTCCCGGTAGCCAGTTTCTTTTTGCGTCGTTGTTCGGTTTTGCAATCGGAACTTTTTTAAAATGTGACAATTTTTTTGTTTCGATTTTGAAATCTTCTAATCCCATCATCATCATCTTTTCTCCTCTGGCTTTTTTTTCTTTTTTTCTTTTTTTCTTTTTTTTCGCCCCCAAACGAAATAGATTGGAAATGCTCTGAGACTCTTCAAGCTTTCGTCTTTTGTCCTCAATCGTCTACATATATTTTTCCCCCCCCCGAACTTCTTTTTCCCCGAACGAAATAGTATGGAAGTGCTTATTTCATTCCCAAACGACCTTCTCCTAAAAAAAAATTTAGAAAAAGACTTGTCTTTGTCACCGCATCCCAATCGTCAAAATGCATGTGTG